CTGCACGCCTCCCACACTGAGCGATCCAGCCTGCAACCCGGGCATGTGCCCTGATTGGGCATCGAACCGTGACCTTCCGGTTCCCAGGTCGACGCTCAACCACTGAGCCACCACGCCTGCGGGGTCACAACCTGCTTCCTGTGTCTGGCGTGACCAGTCCCTTGTGATACCCTCACGAGTCGGGCCTCAGGGAGGTGCCTGACCCTTCTCCCCGTCTGCCCTCCAGACACCCCAATATCCTGCGCCTGTACAACTACTTCCACGATGAGCGTCGAGTGTACCTGATCCTGGAGTATGCGCCCCGCGGGGAGCTTTACAAGGAGCTGCAAAAGAGCCGCACGATCGACGGGCAGCGGACGGCCACGGTGGGGTGGGGAGGACGGGGGAGGGCGGCTGGGGCTTTGGGTCCATGAGTTTACTGTGGGCTGGTGAGGGAGATCACTGCTTGTGGCTGTCCTGAATGTTCAGATTGCTTTTTGCTTTTTTTTTTTTTTTTTTAATAAATTTTATTGATTTTTTTACAGAGAGGAAGGGAGAGGGATAGAGAGTTAGAAACATCGATGAGAGAGAAACATCGATCAGCTGCCTCCTGCACACACCCCCCCCTGGGGATGTGCCCACAACCAAGGTACATGCCCCTGACCGGAATCGAACCTGGGACCTTTCAGTCCGCAGGCCGATGCTCTATCTACTGAGCCAAACCGGTTAGGGCGCTTTTTGCTTTTTAAAAATATGTATTTCTTTTTTATTATTATTGATTTCAGAGAGAAAGGGAGAGAAAAAGAGCGAGAAAGACAGAGAGAGAGAAAGAGAGAGAGAGAGAGAGAAACATCCATGATGAGAGAACCACTGATCGGCTGCCTGCTGCACGCCCCACACTGGGGATTAATCCCACAACCTGAGCCTGTGCCCTGACCAGGAATCGAACCTGGGACCCTTCAGTCTGCAGGCCTATGCTCTGTCCACTGAGCCACCCCGGCCAGGGCCCTGAGGCCGCTCTCCTCCCCGCTCACACAGATCATGGAGGAGCTGGCGCACGCCCTGGCCTACTGCCACGCGAACAAGGTGATCCACAGGGACATCAAGCCGGAGAACCTGCTGCTGGGGCTGCTGGGGGAGGTGAAGATCGCGGACTTCGGCTGGTCCGTGCACACGCCCTCGCTGAGGTGAGCCGGGCGGGGGCGAGGGTGAGGGCGGGCGGGGCTCGGGGCCGCTCGTTAAAAACGATGCACTGACCGTAACACAGTCCGGGTGTGAGGCCGGGCACAGGCCTGGGTTTGTGACCGAGTACCCGCAAGCACCACCCAGCCATGCTTCCTTTGGTTGGAGGGGTGGGCCCCGCAGGTACGCTGAGTGGTCCCCTGAGGATTACAAAAAAATCCTTTCTGCCGAAAGCCATGTGGCTCAGTGGATAGAGCTTCGGCCTGGGGACTGAAAGGTCCCAGGTTCAATTCTGGTCAAGGGCATGTATCTTGGTTTCGGGCACACCCCCAGTGGAGAGTGTGCAAGAGGCAGCTGATCGATGCTTCTAATTCTATTATTCCTCTCTCTTCTTCTCTGTAAAAAAAAAAAAAAAATCAATAAAATATATATATATATTTTTTTTAAATATATTTTATTGATTTTTTACAGAGAGGAAGAGAGAGGGATAGAGTTAGAAACGTCGATGAGAGAGAAGCATCGACCAGCTGCCTCTTGCACACCCTCTACCGGGGATGTGCCCGCAACCAACATACATGCCCCTGACCGGAATCGAACCTGGGACCTTTCAGTCCGCAGGCTGATGCTCTACCACTGAGCCAAACCGGTTTCGGCAAAATATATATTTTTTTAAAAACAAAAACTGCCAAAGCCCGTTTGGCTCAGTGGTAGAGCGTCGTCGTTCTGCAGACTGAAAAGTCCCAGGTTCAATTCCGGTCAAGGGCATGTACGTTGGTTGCGGGCACATCCCCAGTGGGGGGTGTGCGAAAGGCAGCTGGTCGATGTTTCTCTCTCATCGACGTTTCTAGCTCTCTATCTCTCCCTTCCTCTCTGTAAAAAATCAATAAAATATATATATTTTTTTAAAAGAGCTACTGCTGTAAACAGACTATCATATACCTCAGTGGCTTAAAACAACAATTAAAAAACAAAAACAAAAACAAAAAAAACTTTTGCTTCCCAGTTTCGGTGCTGGGGAGGGGACTCCCGCCTCGCTGGGGCCCCAGGAAGGATGTGTTCCTTGCCCGGGCCCCTGGCGGCGCTCACGCCTCCGCCCCCTCCAGGAGGAAGACCATGTGCGGGACCCTGGATTACCTGCCCCCGGAGATGATCGAGCAGAAGACGTACAGCGAGACGGTGGACCTGTGGTGCCTGGGCGTGCTCTGCTACGAGCTGCTGGCGGGGCACCCCCCCTTCGAGAGCTCCTCCTACTATGAGACCTACAAGCGCATCCTCAAGGTGAGGTCCGCACCTGGCGCTCCCGGGCAGCCAGTCGCTGTGGCTGCCGGGCCTGCCCAGCCCTCAGCGTGCACAGAGCTCACCGCCTTAGATCCCGTGCCTGGAGGGGACTCACCACAGACAGAACTGGGGCCAAGAAAAGTTAACCATACTAGCCCTGGCCGGTTTGACTCAGTGGATAGGTTGTCAGCCTGCTGACTGAAGGGACCCGGGTTCGATTCCAGCCCATGGCACATGCCTGGGCTGTGGGCTTGATCTCCAGTAGGGGGCATGCAGGAGGCAGCGACCTATTATTCTCTCTCATCATGGATGTTTCTCTCTCCCTCTCTCTTCCTCTCTGAAATCAATATCAATATATACACGGAGTGTCCAAATTATTATGATCTCTGAACACACAATAATCTGGCCACTCAGTGTGTGTGTATATATATGTACATTAGAGGCCCAGTGCATGAATTCGTGCATGGATGAAGTCTGGCCAGCCTGGCCAAGGGGAGGGGACATGGGCGGTTGGCCGGCCTGCCTGCTGGTCGATTCCTGGTCAAGGGGACAATTTGCATATTAGCCTTCTATTCTATAAGATACACACGGAGTGGCCAGATTATTATGCATTCAGAGATCATCATAATCTGGCTACTCAGTATGGATGGATGGATAGATAGATAGATAGATAGATAGATATAGATAGATAGATTTGAAATTTAACCATACTTGTGTTTCTCCTCCGACCTCCTCAGGTTGATGTAAAGTTTCCTCCCACAATACCTTTGGGGGCCCAGGACTTGATCAGCAAGCTCCTCCGATACCAGCCCTCGGAGCGGCTGCCTCTGGCCCAGGTCCTGCAGCACCCGTGGGTGCAGGCGAATTCTCGGAGGGTGGGGCCTCCGCCCACCCCGTCGGCTTCCTGAGCCCTGTCCACCCCGCCCGGTTCCCGTGTGTGTGTTCAGGGAGCTCTCGTGGCCCTGCTATCGTGTCTGCCTTTTGTGTCTTCCCTGTAAAATATAAGATGCTAATTAATAAAAGATTAATCGTTTATTTTTAAACGTTTTCTTTATTTTTGTTTCCTTTTTCTCTTGCCCCGAGGATATTTTCCATTTATTTTTTTTAGAGAGTGGAAAGGACAGGGAGAGAAGAGAGAAACATCGATGTGAGAGAGACACATTGACTGGTTGCCTCCCACAAGCGCCCCAACCTGGGCCCAGAATCAAGCCTGCAACCAAGGTATGTGCCCTTGAGCAGAATCACACCCAGGACCTTCAGTCTGTACAGTCTCTCTCATCGATGTTTCTAACTCTCTCTCTATTCCTCTCTGTAAAAAATCAATAAAATATATATTTTAAAAATAATAAAATAAAATAAAAATCGCCCTAACCGGTTTGGCTCAGTGAATAGAGCATTGGTTTGTGGACTCTAGGTTCCCAGGTTCGATTCCGGTCAAGGGCATGTACCTTGGTTGTGGGCTCATCCCCAGTAGGGGGTGTGCAAGAGGCAGATGATCGATGTGTTTCTCTCATTGATGTTTCTAGCTCTCTATTCCTTTCTCCTCCTCTCTGTAAAAATCAATAAAATATATATTTTTTTAAAAATAAATTAAATTAAATAAAAATCGCCCTAATTGATTTGGCTCAGTGAATAGAGCATCGGCTTGTGGACTCTAGGTTCCCAGGTTGGATTCCGGTCAAGGGCATGTACCTTGGTTGCGGGCACATCCCCAGTGGGGGTTGTACAGGAGGCAGCTAATCAATGTTTCTCTCTCATTGATGTTTCTAACTCTCTATCTCTCTCCCTTTCTCTCTGTAAAAAGAAAAATTAAATATATTTTCAAAACATAATAAAAATAGCCGAGACCGATTTGGCTCAGTGGATAGAGCGTCGGCCTGCAGACCAAATGGTCCCAGGTTCGATTCCAGTCAAGGGCATGTTACCTTGGTTGTGGGCATATCCCCAGTAGGGGGTGTGCAAGAGGCAACTGATCAATGATTCTCTCTCATCAATGTTTCTAACTCTCTATCCTTCTCTCTTCCTCTCTGTAAAAAATCAAAATATATATACTTTTTAAAAAACATAATAAAAATTAAAAAAATAAAAATCAGAAAACACACAAACAAAAAGACAAGAAAATAGACCCAGACCACCTGCTCCAGCAACACTGCCCTGCAGCCCTGCAGCCTTGCAGGTGGTTTGCAGAGCAAAAACTACATTACCCAGAATACCGCGGGCCAGGTCCCGGCGGGGGGGGGGGAGCATTTTTTTCCTGCTGACGGAGGCAGGACTTCCGGTCCCTGGTGCCCTGCGTCATTTGCGCGCGCCCGTCCCGTCCACGCCAGCTGCCAGCTGTGGCGGAGGAGCGGTGGCCGCGGCGGCCGCTGCCGGGCGGCTCTCGGGGGAGGATGAGCGGAGACGAGGCTGAGACGCGGCCCTGGAGCGCCGAGTGCGGCCGGCGGCCCGGGTCGCCCCGCGGGCAGGGAGACGGCGACGGCGGCCCGGACCCGCGGGCCCCGCCTCGGCCGCCGCCCGGCCCGGCCCCGGCCCCGGCCCCGCTGTCCCCGCGGGGCCCGGCGATGGCGGCGCCGGCGGACCCGGCGCAGGTGAGCGGACGGCGGGCGGCGGGCGGGCGGGCGGGTGTCCCTGTGGCGGGTGTGAGGGGGCGGCCGGGCCACGGCCTCTCCGGGCAGCCGCCCCTCAGCCCCGGGCCGCCGCGGTCACCGGGCCGCCCCCCGGCCTGCGGGCTGCGGGCACAGGCCCGGGGCGCCGACCAGGGACTGCGGCCCCTGTGGCCCCGCACGGCCGGGCCTGGGTGAATAGCCGCCCCTTCTCCTGATTTTTAAGACTATTTCTGCGGCCCTGACCGGTGTGGCTCAGTGGAGAGAGCGTGGCCTGCGGGCTGAAGGGTCCCGGGTTCGATTCCGGTCAAGGGCGTGGACCTTGGTTGCGGGCGCATCGCCAGTGGGGGGTGTGCAGGAGGCAGCTGGTCGATGTTTCTGACTCGCTATTCCTCTTCCTTCCTCTCTGTTAAAAAAAAATCAATAAAATGCCGAAACCGGTTTGGCTCAGCGGTAGAGCGTCGGCCTGCGGACTGAAAGGTCCCGGGTTCGATTCCGGTCAAGGGCATGGACCTTGGTTGCGGGCACATCCCCGGTAGGGGGTGTGCAAGAGGCAGCTGGTCGATGGACGTTTCTAGCTCTCTATCTCTCTCCCTTCCTCTCTGTAAAAAAAATCAATAAAATACATTTTAAAAAATCAATAAAGTATATGTGTTTTTAAATTGGCATGCAGAAAAACGAGATGATCAATAAATCGAAATAAAATTTTAAAAAGTCCTACCCAGTGGAGGTTGTGCAGGAGGTAGCTGATCAATGTCTCTCTCATCAATGTTTCTGTTATCCCTCTCCCTTCCTCTCTGTAAAAAGTCAATAAAATGTATTTTTTTAAAAATAGCAATAAGAATATGTACACAGATAATAATTTAATTTAAAAAATAAATATTTTATAAAAACATTTTGTTAAAAAAATTAAATAAATAAAATAAAAAGCAATGGAAAAAATTAAAAAAATAAAAAACAATAAGCCAAAAACCGTTCGGCTCAGTGGATAGAGCATCGGCCTGTGGACTAAAGGGTCCCAGGTTCGATTCCGGGCATGTACCTTGGTTGCGGGCACGTCCCCAGTGGGAGGGTGCAAGAGGCAGCTGATCGATGATTCTCTCTCATCGATGTTTCTAACTCTCTATCCCTCTCTCTTCCTCTCTGTAAAAAATCAATAAAATATAATTTTTTTTTAAATAGCAATAAAAAATAAAAACCCCTAACCAGTATGGCTCACTGGGTAGAGCCTTTCCTACAGACGGAAAGATCACGGGTTCGATTCCGGTCAAGGGCATGTAACTTGGTTGCAGGCACATACCCAGTGGGGGGTGTACAGGAGGCAGCTGATGGATGATTCTCTCTCACTGACGTTTCTAACTCTACCTCTCTCCCTTCCTCTCTGTAAAAAATCAATAAAATATAGTTTTTAATATATCGGGTTTTTTTTTAAAAAAAGAATATTTTCATTGATTTCAGAGAGGAAAGCAGATAGTGAGATAGAAACATCAATGATGAGAGAGAATCATTGAGCGGCTGTGACCAGCCTATAGTCTGGGCTTGTGTCCTGATGGGGAATCGGACCTCGCCCTCCGGATTCATAGGTCAGCCTCTGAGCCAGGCCCAGGAGGACCCTTTTTCAAATTTTCACCCACTTCTAATTTAACCACCTAGAGCAGTGGTTGGCAAACTGCGGCTCAGGAGCCACATGTGGCTCTTCGGCCCCTTGAGGTTTTAGCCAAGGCCAGCTTAATCAGGAGTACCCTGATTAAGTTAATAACAATGTGCCTACCTATAGAGTTTAAGTTTTTAAAAATTTGACTCTCCAAAGGAATTTCATTCGATGTCCTGTTGATATTTGGCTCTGTTGGCTAATGAGTTTGCCGACCACTGAGAACTAGAGAAAGCCATATACGTTGTTGCACCCTAAGCAGTTAATACAGAATGCTATGTACCATAGTTGCATGTCAGAGAGTTCATATATATATATATATATATATATATATATATATATATATATATATATATATTAGAGGCCCAGTACACAAATTGGTGCACTGGTGGGGTCTGTCCCTCCAGCTGGGCCAGCCAGGGAAAAAGGAAGTGCCCAGGTGAGGCCCAGCTGTGAAGCAAGGCAGGTGGTGCTAGTGCCATGTCTTGGGCCTCCAATTGATAGGCCTGGGGCACGCTGACGCCTGCTGCTGCTTGTTTGAGAGATTTTTAGGAAAGTCTGAAGGTCTGGGAGCATTGAAATGGCAGATGTGCAGTGGTGGGGCTGTGCGTCTGAGAGTGGAGTGGCTGGATTGTCCGTGTGTAATGAGTGGGCCTGGTCACCACAGGGCTGTCAGGAGCCACTGGTGAAAGGAGGCCTGGAGAGCAGGGGACTTATCACGCGTCTCTGGGATCTTTCATTGCACCCCTTTGTGAATTGTCCCGGCTGTTGTGTTGGTCCCTGGATTCCATGTTTCTGGACAACGGTTTTTAGGGGCCAGCGTATGCACTCACCATAGATAGAGAGGAGCTGGGACTCTCAGTCACCGTAAGACACGGTGTAACTAATGTCCAAGAAGACTGAATGTCAGCGGTAACGAGGGGCTGGGGCATGGGCAGGCACTGGCCGGACCCCTGAGACGCAGGTACCTCTGTTACCACCATTCCTGATGGTTTTTTTAAAAATATATTTTATTGATTTTGTACAGAGAGGAAGGGAGAGGGATAGACAGTTAGAAACATCAATGAGAGAGAGTCATCGATCAGCTGCCTCTTGCACACCCCCTACTAGGGATATGCCCGCAACCAAGGTACATGCCCTTGACCGGAATCGAACCCGGGACCCTTCAGTCCCCAAGCCGACGCTCTATTCATTGAGCCAAACCGGTCCCGGCCCAGATGGTTTTTATTATCATGTTACAGAAGACCGGAAAGAAAGAAAGCCATGCTTAGAGAAAGGGAGTTACATTGTATTAAGGACAAGGCCAGAGAAAAATGTGCCTTTCCAATTCTGCCCTCCCCCCAAACCCCCCCCCCCCCCCCACACACACACACGGAGGAAACCTATTCTGTTCGTACTTTTCCTTGCTCCTCTGTCTCCCAGATTTGGAATTCTCCAGGCCCGGCCTGGTGTCAGCACTGACAGCTCTGTCTGGGGCACAGCCACGGCTTCTCTGGGATGGGAATACGTAGTCTTATTGTCCTTATTGTTTAAGCAAGCAAGCGTTTACAGAAGCCAGAATAGCAGGGTTAAAACTTCAAACAGCAGTTTTTATAGAAGCTGGATGCTTTGATCCTATTTCCTCCTCTTTCTGACTGCCTGGAGCCCGCACCACCTACGAGACGCTCCATTGTCCGTGTCCGCTTACGTCAGCTCCTCCCAGAGGCGGGTTCTCGTCTGTGACCGTGTTGCACCCACAGCATTGCCGTCCCCGTCCCCCGTGAGCGAGCACAGAGCTCGGCCCAGCAGGCACGTGGACGTTTGTCCTTGACCACGACACAGAGACGGTCGCTGATCCCATCAGCAGCCCCAAGGCCGTCGCTGCGACCTCTGTCTTCCTTTCCAGGCGTCTGTGACCTTCGAGGACGTGGCCGTGACCTTCTCCCAGGAGGAGTGGGGGCAGCTGGACGTGGCCCAGAGGACCCTGTACCAGGAGGTGATGCTGGAGACCTGCACGCTCCTGGCGTCTCTGGGTGAGTGCTCCCGGACTCTGCCATGTGGGGACCCCCGTCCCCTCCTCCACTCTGCCCTCTGGCTCCGGGCCTGCTGGTCACGAAGGCCCGGGGAGCCCTGGCTGGTGTCTGGTCGGGTGTTACCCCGTGCACCGAAAGGTTGCTGGTTCGATTCCCAGTCAGGGCACAGGCCCGATTATGGGCTCCATCCCCCAGGGGGGGCCTGCAGGAGGCCGCCAGTCAAATGTTATGCTCTCCCTCTCCCTTCCTCTCTCTCTAAAAACCAATAAACTGTTCTTTCTTCCCCACTTCCATCTGCCCCACCCACTGTCCCTCTGGCTGTCCCCACTGTTGTCCGCCCGTCGCACTGTGTCTGTGTGCTACACATATGGTTCTAGCTTATTCCGTCACCCTCGTTCACCAGCTCCCCAGCATCGGTGACACTGTGACGTCACAGTGGAGGTGTGGGTGGCAGTAGCACTTGGGGGACAGAGCCCGGGGTGCTGACATCGCAGTGGCCAGACTGGCCTCGGGGTGCAGCCCCCACACCGGGTGTTTGCTGTCTCTCCCTCAGCGGGGTGTTTGGGGGACAAGTGTCCAGTGCCAGAATCTTGTTTAATCCAACTCTGCTCCTGAAAAGCTGTGTGGCCGTGGGCCAGTCACTGAGCCTCTCTGTGCTGTGGTGCGTTTACTGGGAAAATGGTTAGTGTGGTACCTGCCTCTCGGGTGCGGCAGGGTAATGGGCGACTCAGGGACAAGGCTCGGGACAGGGCCTGCTGTGGCCAGGCTGGTATTGGGGACCCCCTGCCGCTCCCCCGCTGCTGTGACTCTCAGGACCTCGTCACCCTCGGGCCTGGACTCAGCCTCCGGAGCGGGTGGTGAACAGCCAAGACAGCAGACAAGGCTGACCGGGCTTCCCACGCTGTCCTCCTGGGCACGTCACGCCCTCTGCTGGAGCCTCGGTCTCCTCGTCTGTAACATGGGCTGATGGCAGTGTGTACTTGCTGGTGAGCTCTGAGGAAGTCCTGAGGCGGAATCTTCATTCTGTCTGTGGATCTAAAAATAAGACCTACATCCTGGCCAGGTGGCTCACTTGGTTCGAGTGTGGTCTGAGACGCCAAGGTTGCGGGTTTGACCGTGGGCAGGGCACATAGGAGACTCAGCCAGTGAATGCATACGTAAGTGCAACAACAAATCAATGTTTTCTCTCTCTCTCTCTGTCTCTGTCTCCCCCTCTCCCTGCCCCTTTCTCTCTGAAATCAATACATGTTTAAAAATGGAAATAAAAGGACAGATCAATGAGGACACATACCTTGTTTGGACAGAAGAGTAAATATTTTAGGCGTGTCATTGTTTACTCCATAAATCATTTTGATTTTGAAACAAAACAAAGCTTTTCAGCTGCTTGTCACCATCCGTTGAGGACGATCACGCTCCGCATTAGCTTTGACTTCGTGTTGGAAACAAACACTCCCCGTCCGCACAGCCTGTCTGTGGCTTCGGGGCAGACGTCAGCATTTGGTGTGGATGGAGGCAGCTTCCTGCCGAGGTGTCCCCGTCCTGCAGTCCCGGACCCGATGGAGAATCCTCTTTCCTCACAGATCCTCCCGTCCTCTTTCTCCTCTGTGACAGGGTGCCCCGTGCCCAGACCCTCGCTGGCCTGCCCGCAGGAGCTGGAGCAGGAGCAAGAGCAGGAGCTGGAGCAGGAGCAGGAGCTGGAGCAGGAGCAGGAGCAGGAGCTGTGGGTGGTGAGGACCGATCTCTCCCGAGGCATCTGTCCAGGTAGGAGCTGGCCCGGCCAATGGCAGACCCTGCGCCGGGAGGCCTCCAGAGACCATGCGCCATGGCCCCTGGGGAGCTTCGTGTTGGGGCCTGTCTGCTGGTTTGGAAGCCTGGGAGCCCTTTCCCCCAGATATTTTTTTATTGATTTTTTTAGAGATGGGGAGAGAGAGGGAAACATCATGTGATATTCGAGAGCAGAATAACTGCATGCTCCCTCCGGGGATCAAGCCTGCAACCCAGGCATGTGCTCTGACCGGGAATCAAACCAGAAACCTTTCGGTGCATGGCACGGCGCCCAGCCCACTGAGCCACACTAGCCAGGCAAGCCATGGAGCCCTCTGACCTCCTGGAGGCAGAGGTGTGTGAGCTCCGATCCATCTGGGGCTCACAGTCTGGCTTGCTGGCTGCCAGCTCTGTGGCTGTAGTGAGTTGCACCATCTTCTTGAGTCCTTATATTTAAGGTAAAAATGGCTTCTGGGTCGGACAGACTCCAGAATCTCATTGCTCAGCACACGGCAGCTCTTTTTCTCACTCACTCGGGGTCAGCGGGGAGCTCTGTACCAGTGGTTTTCAGGGACCCGTGTCGGTCCTGTCGCCCTCCAGCTGGCCGAGGAGACGAGAGAGGAGGGAGGGTGTCACCCCCTCCCACAAACACCAGCTCCGCTCACATCCCTCTGACGTGAACAGGGCATTGGGGCACCTGGGTGTGGGGCCACAGTTGTGGCGAGGCTGCGTGTCCGGCCTCAGGCGCAGAGATGTGGTGAGTGTAGTCTGCCACGCTCGGTCCGTCCCAGGAAGTTGCTGGTAAAAGTGGTGTTTTGGTCATTGCGTTGCTTGGGGGTGTAATCACGTAAGGCGTTATGCGTAAAACTGCTTAGCAAAGCGTCTGAGCCACAGCAAGGGGCTCATGAAAAGCAAGCTATTGGTAGTACTTATTGCATAATTGAGATCATCATGTTGCCTTTTTGTTTTCTTCTTTTTTAAAAAAATATATATTATTGATTTTTTACAGAGAGGAAGAGAGAGTGATAGAGAGTAAGAAACATCGATGAGAGAATCATAGATCAGCTGCCTCTTGCACACCCCCTACTGGGGATGTGCCTGCAACCAAGGTACATGCCCTTGACCGGAATCGAACCTGGGACCTTTCAGTCCGCAGGCCAACGCTCTATCCACTGAGCCAAACCGGTTTCGGCTTCTTCTTAATTTTGTTAATATGTATTAATTACACTGATCACTTTGTGTGTGTCAAACCATCCTTGCATTATAGGAATAAACCCTGCTTGGTCATGGTGTATGGTCCATTACATGTGCCACTGGATTTTAGCTAGCCACTCTCGAATTGAGGACTTCTGCATCAGTTTTCATGAGAAGATGTTGGTCTGCAGTTTTGTTTTCTGTTAGTGCTTTAGCTTTATTATCATGATATTGCCAGTGCGAGAACGAGCTTAGATGAGTTTGAGCAGGATCGGCATTAGTTCTTTAGAAATGTTTGATAGGATTTGCCAGTGAAGTTCCCAGGGCTGGTGTTTTACTTCGTTGGGAGATTTTTGGTTAGTAATCCAATCTCCTTAATTATTCTAGGTTTATTCAGATTTCCTATTTCTTGTGAAACAGAAAGATCTTGGTAGGTTTTGTGTTTTTCAGAATTTGCCGGTGTCACATAGGTTATCCATTTCGTTGGTGTACAATTGTTGGTAGCATTGTGTTTCAGAAATTCTTTTCTTGTTTATTTTAGGTTTTCTAGCTCTTTGTTGATATTTCTATTTTGTTTAGACATATTTTTTTTTTTTCATTTTCTCCGTATCTTCCTTTAGTTCTTTGAACTTCTTTAAGATGGTTTTTTGCTGAAACCAGTTTGGCTCAGTTGACTGACCAATGACCTACGTGACAGAGTCTCCTGCCCCTCCTCTTTTTCCAGAAGCCCAGTTGTTATCATAAAACTCAGTGTCCCAACCCTCTAATCATATGGTTAGCCTTTCTAGCATGACTAGGCCTTGCCCTGAGTCATCTCTTCAGATATAGGGGCCCAAGTGAGTTACCTGTTTGTATAAATATTCTCTCTGGAATCGATTGTTTCTTCTCATCGCTCTGCCCTGTAACCCAACTACTTCCCTTTGTCTCCCTTTCAAGGTGTCCATAGTCCAAGGACTAGGAAAGAAAAAAATTGCAGTCCTTGTATTCAGAGGTAAAACATAGCAGACACAGAAAGCACTATTTTCACCTTTTTTCAAATCACGGAAGTGGTGGGGATTGCGTGTGTGTGTGTGTGTGTGTGTGTATGTGTGTTGGCATTACTAACAGGCCCTGTTGTGTGCTGGATTTCTTTCAGATGAGAAAGAAAGAGCTGAGACCACAGAACCCGCTGCTTGTGAGCTCGCCCTGCCTGAGCGACCCTCCCTTCTAAAACTGCTAATACAAGGAGCCGAGCCCCTGGCAGACTTCCAGGCGGGCCGGACCGCGGGCTGGAGCGGGCCGTGGGAAGTGCCCGGCGGACAGTCGGGGCTGGGGATAGACCTGCAGGAGGAGAAGCTTCCTAGGAGACCCCGCTCCGAGCACGGCGGCTTCGGGACAGCGGAGGGTGTGTGCGTGAGGGCCGTGCGGGAGCCGGCCCCCACCGTGCGAGCTCTCCTGGAGCACGACTTGTGCAGGCTGGGCGCAGACCACACGGCTCAGGGCGGGGGGGGCCTCTTTCCCTGCAGCGAATGCGGGAAAGTGTTCAACAAGAAGCGCCTCCTGGCCCGACACATGTGGGTTCACTCGGGACTGAAGCCCTACGAGTGCACAGAGTGTGGGAAAACGTTCAGTAAGAGCACGTACCTCCTCCAGCACCACATGGTCCACACGGGGGAGAAGCCCTACAAGTGCGCGGAGTGCGGGAAGGCCTTCAGCCGCAAGTCACACCTGACACAGCACCAGCGGATTCACAGCGGAGAGAAGCCCTACAAGTGCGACGAATGCGGGAAGGCCTTCACCCACCGCTCGACGTTCGTCCTCCATACCAGGAGCCACACGGGGGAGAAGCCCTTCGTGTGCAAGGAGTGCGGCAAGGCCTTCCGGGACAGGCCGGGCTTCATCCGGCACTACATCATCCACAGCGGCGAGAACCCCTACGAGTGCTTCGAGTGCGGGAAGGTCTTCAAACACAGGTCCTACCTCATGTGGCACCAGCAGACCCACACGGGGGAGAAGCCCTACGAGTGCAGCGAGTGTGGGAAAACCTTCTGTGAGAGCGCGGCCCTCATCCACCACTACGTCATCCACACGGGGGAGAAGCCCTTCGAGTGCACGGAGTGCGGGAAGGCCTTCAACCACCGGTCGTACCTCAAGAGGCACCAGCGCATCCACACCGGGGAGAAGCCGTACGTGTGCGCGGAGTGCGGCAAGGCCTTCACCCACTGCTCCACGTTCATCCTGCACAAGCGGGCCCACACGGGGGAAAAGCCGTTTGAGTGCAAGGAATGCGGCAAAGCCTTCAGCAATCGGGCCGACCTCATCCGGCACTTCAGCATCCACACCGGGGAGAAGCCCTACGAGTGCGGGGAGTGCGGGAAGGCCTTCAACCGCAGGTCAGGCCTCACGAGGCACCAGCGGATCCACAGCGGAGAGAAGCCCTACGTGTGCAGCGAGTGTGGGAAAACCTTCTGCTGGAGCACCAACCTCATCCGACACGCCGTCATCCACACCGGGGAGAAGCCCTACGAGTGCGGCGAGTGCGGGAAGGCCTTCAGTCGTAACTCATCCCTCACGCAGCATCAGAGGGTTCACACGGGGAGAAACCCAGTCGGTGTGACACAAGTGGGAAGACCCTTCCCAAGCGGACAGTCCTCCGTCAACTTCCAAGAACTCCTGCTGGGAGAAGACTTTCTGAATGTAAACACTGTGGAGAATGTTCTGCCGGAAGAATCTCCATACTCGGACTCGAGTTGCTCATACCAAAGAGAAACCCCAGAGTTGTCTTCCCTGTGAAAAACCCCTTGCAAAATGCCAGTGGTCTTCTCCCGAGTCATATTGGAAACGGACCCCGCCTGGATCCTTACTTTCCACGTGGGAGTTCACCCAGGAGAGAGGCCCAGTGGTTATCAGGCACTTAGAAAACTTTCCGCTCTGTCTTTCTCCTTCGTTTACACTGCAGGGCTATCTCAGGAATCGTTTCTTTAAAAAGAAGGGAGAGACTTGGAAGAGAGAATGAACTATCTCCAGGTTTCTTTCAGACTCCTGTGTCTCTCTCTCTCTCTCTCTCTCTCTCTCTCTCTCTCTTTCTTTTTTTTTTTTTTTTAAATATATATATATTTTATTGACTTTTACAGAGAGGAAGGAAAAGGGACAGAGAGTTAGGAACATCAATGAGAGAGCAACATTGCCTGCAACCAAGGTACATGCCCTTGATCAGAATCGAACCCGGGACCTTTCAGCCGCAGGCCGATGCTCCATCTACTGAGCCAGACCAGTTAAGGCTGCCATGGATTTCTTAGTTTGGCTGGCAGGAGGAGAGTTTTGTTTGAGAACTTAAAGGACTCGGGGTTTTGTGTGTCTTGTACATACATTCACTGCTGTCCGGTGTCCAGATAGGAGACCTTGAAGGCAGGTCTGGAAACTTTCAATGAACATCTTTGTTCTAAAACATTGTATTCTTTAAGAAGAAGAAAAAAATCCTCACCCGAGGACATGTTCCCATTACTTTTAGAGAGGGGTGGGGCAGAGAAACACCAAGCAGTTGCCTGCCAGACACATCCCAACCTGGGATCAATCCTGCAACCTATGTGGAATTGAGCCACCATCTTTTGGGGTATGAAGTAGTGCTCAGTCAACAGCCACACCAGCAGGCCATGGTCTCTGCTCTTTTTAAAAAAATATATTTTATTGATTTTTTTTACAGAGAGGAAGGGAAAGGGACAGAGAGAAACATCGATGTGAGAGAGACATCGATCAGCTGCCTCATGCCCACCCCCTACTGGGGATGTGCCCACAACCAAGGTACATGCCCTTGACCAGAATCGAACCTGGGACTCTTCAGTCTGCAGGCCAAACCTGCTAGGGCCACTGTCTCTATTCTTAAGGAGTTTAATTTTTGAGAGAAATATGAAGGTTTGAACCATAAATACTTTTTTGTTTGAGGGGATTAGTATACACGTATGGACAGATGCATTTGATGGCGCCTGTTCACACTGGTTAAGGCTTTGATTTTTTAAAAAGCAAATCTTCACGGGGTTTTAAAGACCCAATCCTTGGACATTTTTTGGTCCTGTACTGCTGGTTGGTTTGATGGCTGTAGTTACGTGGTAAATTTTTTAATTGGGTAAAGTGATTCTTTTATCCGCATTTTTTTAATTTGAACCTTATTTGTCACTCCTACGTTAATTTCTATGTAAAGTTTTAGATATACTGGATTTTTTTTACCCCCCAAAATGCCACGTTTTTCTAGAAATTGAGTTAAATTGGCATGTGGATCCATTTGTTGAGAATAGGCATCCGGACTGTGTTGTCTTCCAGTTACTTAACATGGTGTGTCTCTCTATGGGAGCATTGTTTATCTCCGTGCTGTCTTAGAAAGGGCAGTGGCAGGTCTGTACAGATTTTATAAACCTTTGGTATCATGCCAATAGGATCATTTTTGAGTGTTATTTTGGCATCCTGCAAACTTGTTGAACTGCAACCATTTATTGGGTAGAATGCTTGGGATTTTTCTACATAGAAAAACAGAGGTAGTTTTTATTTTTTCTTCGCGTCTGTATTACCTCTTCTTCTTCCCGTCTTACTGCACTCGCTGTAATCCAGTGTAATGCTGAGTAATAGTGGTAGTGAGAAACATAGTCTTGCTTGGTCCCTCAGATTAGAGGGAAAACACTCATTTTTTTTTTTTTTATCACTAAGTGTGATGCTCGTCTTAAGGTTTTCCTTCTAGAGGTTTCTCACCAAGTTCAGGTGTCCCGTGTTCCTCATTTGCTGAGGTGTTTTGGTGTCTTGAATAGGCGTTGGATTTTGTCCAATGCTTTTTCTCTCTTAGTTGGTATAACCATGTTTGTTTGGTTTCTTTACCTGGAGCCTGTTGGTATGATGTTTTAAAATGTATATATTTTTAATTTTATATTGTTTCCCCATCATCGTTTACCCTATTACCCTCTTCCACTTCCTCTCCCCACCCCTATCCCTCACCGCTGTTTTAAATATCAAACACTTCCCTAACCTTGGAATAAGCCCCGCTTGGTCCTGGAGTCTAATTATTGTATTATAGTATTCAGTATGCTAGCATTTTAATTGAGGAAGGTTTCCTCTGTTCTCATAAAGGATAACAAGAGTTAGGTCCTTGTTCTTATTTCCATTCCTGGGTTTTGCGCGTTTGGCCTTCTGTACCCTCGGCGTCTGGTTCCGGTGCGTAGGCGGCACTGGCCCCCCAGCCAGTGCTGAGAGCGGTCCTCCTCCTGTGACTTAGGAGACAGCGTGTAGAATGATCTATTTGTTCTTCCAACGTTGGGCGGCCGCTTAGCCCTGGGGGTGGTTCTTCTGGATGCTTTTTCACTTGGTATTTATTTTATTTAATACGGATAGAACTACTTAGAGTATATTGCATATCGGATGAATTTTCATTGTCCTTTTTAGGGACAATTCTTTTTTTTTCTTTTTTTTTAAAATATATTTTATTGATTTTTCACAGAGAGGAAGAGAGAGGGATAGAGAGTTAGAAACATTGATGAGAGAGAATCATCGATCAGCTGCCTCTTACACACCCCCTACTGGGGATGTGCCCGCAACCAAGGTACATGCCCTTGCCCGGAATCGAACCCGGGACCCTTCAGTCCGCAGGCCAACGCTCTATCCACTGAGCCACACCGGTCACGGCTTAGGGACAATTCTCCTTCATGTCAGTTCTACTTCTTATTTGCTTCAAGTATTCCTCTATTATTCTTTTTGGCGGTAGAATATTCCCCTGTTCTATTCCTGATATTGAAATGTTTCAACTCCTTTTATTTTGTCAATCTTCTTTGTATTTATCAATTTTTTTTTTTAATCATTTCAAAGAACCAGCACTTTATATCGGTTTTTGCTTGTTACCTTTCTGTCCCTAATTTCACAGATTTTCTGACCTTCTGTATATTCTTTTTTCAACTTGCTTTTGTTGTGTTTTCCTCTGGTTTCTTGAGGTGGATGCTTAGATAAACTTGGGATTATTTTTCTATGGTAAGCATTAAGTTCTATCATTTCCCCCCCCCCCCCATGCACTGTTTTAGCTGCTTCTCACAAGTTTTAATACGTTTTAATTACATTTCATTCAATTTTAAATATTTCTTCATTCGAGACTTCTTCTCTAAACCATGGATTATGTACAGAGTATGTTGTTGACTTTTTAAGTGTGTGACATATTTCATGCTCTTTTCCGAAAATACTTCTTTTAAAAAATATATTCTATTGATTTTTTTACAGAGAGAAAGGGAGAGGGATAGAGAGTTAGAAACATCGATGAGAGAGAAACATCGATCAGCTGCCTCTTGCACACACCCCCAACGGGTATGTGCCCGCAACCAAGGTACATGCCCTTGACCAGAATCGAACCCGGGACCCTTCAGTCCACAGGCCGACGCTCTACCCACTGAGCCACGCCGGTTTCAGCTGGTTTGATTCTTAGTCAAGGGCACTGCCCAGGTCGGGACTCGATGCCCAGTTGGGGTGTGCGGGAGGCAGCCGATAGATGTTGCGTTCTCACATAGATGTTTCTGCCTCTAAAAGTCAGTAAGCTTTTTTTAATGGCTCCTGCCCCTGTCACCTGACTTAGCCCCTTTCCCTCCCCACCCCCAACCCCCACCCTGTTATTGGATCTTTTCCCCCCTGCCCTCCTCTCTGACTTCAGGGTCCTTTCCTGGTTCCCTGGTATTCATTCTCTTCTCCGGAGCACCTGTGTCTTCCCCCTGTCGGCCCTTGTGCTTCCCGGGACCCACCCGTGGTCCCTGCTTCCTCCCGTGGGATGCTACCCACGGGCGCGCTGAGCCCCTCGCGGCATTGCCCTCACAGGGACCCGCACTTCCTCCCCCCGTGTCTCCAGGCTTTGTGCTCCTCAGCCTGCTCCCTGTGGGTCACCCGCACCTCCTCCCAGTCGGTGCACACTGCTCATGCGTGAGTCATGTGGCCGTGGTGATGGGCGCACCGTGACAATCCTCAGAGCAAGCACACACATGGTGTTACTGTGCATCAGCCACTGTTGTGGGTGTTCTCCACATGCCACCCCTCACCTCCGCAGCAGGTCTGTGTGGTGAGTGATGCTGCCCCGCTTACAGGAGAGAGAACGTAGGAACAGGGAGGGTGAGGAGTTTTCGGAGATGGCAGTAGGTGAGGAAGCGAGGGGTTCGGGGCCGGGCACCGTGAGGGAGCCCTCCTCGCTCCCCTGCATTTCTCCTCGGGGTCCGGTCCCTGCTCCTTTTGCTGAAATGGGTCACATCACACCCCGTTAGCGGTACCGCCTGTTCTCACCGGACAGCACGTCTCGGCATTCTCTGGGGCTGAGCGAGAGAACCAGGCTCACTCTAAAGGCTATGGACCTGTCACAGCTGTGGGAAATGGGCGGGGGGGGTGGTTTCTAAAGCATGTGTCTGGTTAAAGGCATTGTGGTTAGGCTCATTTGTATGCACACAAGTCCTTGGGTTGATCTCTCCCCTTTATCCCCACCCTCCCCTACCTTCCCTCTGATGATCTGATAGATGCTTCCCTGTCTCCGGGTCTGTTCTTGTTCATCAGTCTGTGTTGTTCACCATTTCCCCTAGATGAGTGAGATCATATGATACAAGAAATACACTTATTAGAACCGAAACTGAGACAAGCCTTAATGGTTATGCTGAGGGGCAAATGAATCATTCTGTAGTGAGTTCCTTTCTGGGCCACCAGTTGAGTCCCAATTTCAATGTCAAACAGTTCCTCGTGTACGTGTCAGCCATGGTATTTTAGTTCTGGGTGGTGGACAAACGGGGGTGGGGAATACG